GTTAAACCCCCTCCTGATTGTTATTTCATCCTCATATTTATCCTTCCTTTCACCTTCATTGTCATTACAAAGTCTGTCATTATCACAGACAGACTCCCAGGAAACTGGCTAGAACTGCAGTGTAGTTAGGTAAGCTTGTAGGAATAGTTTCTTTTTGGGTGAATCTATTCAATATTGAGCAAATTAGGTGGAAACCTTGGAATCTCTTCTCTGGGCTTCTCTCTTTTTCAGAGGTGATTAAAATGTTGTCTTTACAAGGGGAAGAGCATCTTCCTGTTGCCTCTGTAACAGATGAAGCGACTTTATCTTCCAAAACTTTTTTGTTAACTGGAAAGTGAGCTCTGAGCAGAGGCTCTGTTTTGTACACCCTGCATCCTCCAAATTGAGAACAGTACATAGAACAAGCACTCGATAAATTTGTTAAATGGATTAATGGACCTTTAGGATACTGTTGCTCCATTAAAGCCTATCTTAAATTTGTCTGACCCTAGGTCTGTTCATCCTCCATTGTCCCTTCCCCCACAAACATACATACTCACCAGAAAGCAAGAATCAATGTACCAATTTTTCTTATTCCATAGCCTGTCAGCAACACTCTTTGCTGACATATTTGTATTTGGGTTACCTGTCTGAGTTTGGGTCTTGAATGATCAAATCCCTCTCTCATAAGTTTATCCCCTTATGATTATATGCATATTGTGGATGTTTTATTCACTTGTCAAGCCATTATCAAGTTCTGGCTATGATTCAGAAATAGAGCTTGTTCAGTAGACACAAATTTAAATAATTCATAATGCTTTTCCAATAGATGTTCCTATAGTTGTTGTGAGGAGAGACACTTACAGAAATAATGACGCTTCAGTGTGTCACATTCTATAATAAAGCAATATCAAAATGCATATTTAATAAACATTGGTTGTTAAAATGTATAGTTTTAATTATGACTCTCAACTTTGCTGATGTTTAATAAAAATTTATCAAGCAAATATTAATAGAACGTTTATTTTAAACTTATGGAATGGTATGTACTAATATAATTGAAACTTCAAAATGAATTATCTTCTGAAAATCTTTTCAGGCAGCATTTAATTTCTATTCTAGTTGAAGAAAATATAATATTTATAAAATTTGAGTAAAAAGTTCCAAAATTATCAGGATTTTGAGATTTATGTGCACATTATTTTATTTTATTTCCAGTCTTGAATTCTAGATGATAGATTTATTTTGATAACTATTTCTAAAACAAAAATATAAAGTAAGGCGAATTTTAACATTTTACTTAAATCACAAAGTTAATAATAAATTTATGATGACATCTGACTAGTTTTCTAGATTTAAAGAAACAATCATTGTTACTACACGTTTCACAGGGAGCCTAAAGAGGTAGAGTGTGCCTTCTCTTATATGTGGGTACCAATGGCTAAGTTAACAATGCCAAGTTACAGAGGGATAATCAGCAATGTAAAGCTATAGAAAATGAGGGGAAAAATTTTTGATGACTGAGGAGAACAGGTTTTGTTATATCTTTTTCATTCATTTTTATAAAACACTCTAACACTTAGTCATTGTCTTAATGATGACACACTTGTCACAGGGAAGACCTCTACAAGGTGCTATACAAAAACAACCCTTATGGTACAGGAAAGGCATAACACAAAGCTATATTTCAAACATATCTGATACCTTTCAAAGGAATAGATTACATACCACACCTTAGGGCTAAATAAATTAAATACTAGAGACCTTCAATACATTCTCAGACGTTTTGATGTATGGTTATTACCTCATCTGCCTTCACAGAGGAAGCAGGGATGCTTAGGAGGAACTTTGAATCATGTAATCAGAGGAGTCCTGTGCCACTGGTGGGTCAGCAAAACAATGTGAAGTGTCTCCTGCTGGCTAGAGATCAGAGGTCATTGGTGTTTTCATAATTCTAGCTACAAAACAAGTCCTTGTCATTAGAATCTGTGTTTATACGTTTCAATCTACTGACAAACAATGCACTAAAACATGTGAGAACATTTATCAAATTGAGCTTGATCCTACCCTGACCCCTTTTAAGGAAGCTTTCTTCAAGGCATTTATAACAGAGGTCATTATCAGATTACCTGTGACTCAGGGTATTATATCAATATTGAACTTCTAGACAATGCTGATGACTTGGGGGCAGAGGTTGTGTCCTCCATGTGCTCATTAAACAAAGCTACAGTGATCCCTTCAGCTCCCCTCCTCTTGGCACACAATTGTGCCATTTTTCCTCATCTCTCTTTCAGTGAGCTGGAGGAACACATAGCCGAGAATGAACCCTCTCATCATTGAAAAGTACAAACACAAAAATGTCTATTTCTTCACTATATCAAACTATTTTTCGCCAGTGTTTAAACTATAAAATTGCATGGGTATCTGTGTCTCATGAGGCTTTATCCATAGAGCTTCAAGGCAGGAGTCAAATAGAGAAAGAAAATTTCCTTCCATCAACTTCTTCTCACTCCCAAATGCACACGATACACACACACACACACACACACACACACACACACACACTCGTGTGGGCCTGCACACACTTAACTCAGCTACACTCCTAATCTGTAATGATTTTTCCTTAGCCCCTACTCCAATTTCATCCCCTTGGCTCTTATGGAGAGGAAAAATTCTCTGATGAACTAACTCAGGAAAAGGAGATCTTAACATTACTTAAAGCTATTCATATTTGCATTTTAAAAGAGTGTCCAAGAATAGTTAAGCATTAATTTTTTTCACAGAGGTTAGCAAGAAAAAAAAAATGAATTACTATCTCAGGCACTGAGAAATTATTTATTTCTTCAAAAAATTTATTGAATGCTAATTCTGTCCAAATATTGAAAAACACTGAGGACATAACAGAGCTAAATGGGCATACTTGTGGCCCCAGGATGCTGTTAGTCTAAAATGGGATATGAAAATTTACCACAAACAGCCCACTACAAATGAGACAAAAACTTCAAAAGAGAGTGTTTATAGTCCTATGGGGTTGGATCAGGTAGAACCTGGAAAGCTACCCTAAAATACAAAGACTGAGATGAAATTATAAACAATAATTAAAAGAGTATTTAAAATGCTTATAGCTCGTGGACTTCAAAAAGGGTGTTCATGGTGAAGTTCAGTGGAAAGTAGAGCTTCATACCTAATGGGATCAGATCACACAGCACCTCCACAGGTAGGGTGGTCCTGTAGAGGATTCATCCCCACCAAGGCAATTTTGAAAGTGAAAATGGTTCCCACTACTAACAACAGACATGGTTGAGTTACCAGTTACCAAGTAACTGGAGATCAATGGTCATTCTCATCATAGGCCATTTGAAATAATGAGCTTTATTCTAAAGACAGTGATGAGAAATTTGTTAGCAGAAAGGAAACAGCTTTGAACTTGCTTGATTCTCTGCCTGCACAGAGGAGAATGGATAGCAGAGGGACCATTGTAGTGGCTGCATAATATATAATGACAGTTTAGTCTAGGGTGAAGATAATAAACGTTGTGAGGATAGTGACAAGGAAGAAAAGAGTAACGAGGATAACTCCTAGGCTCCTGTCTTACACCTGATAGGTGGTAGTAACATTCATAAAAAAGAGACAGAAAGGAAACAGCTTTAGGCTGGGGTCATGAGTAGGAAGAGAAGATCTCATTTCACTTATAGTCTTACAGAGTTTAGAGTGTGTTTGAGAGAAGAAATCATGTGCAGTGAATTAAAAAATAAAAGTGTTTCATAGGTGCCCGGCCAGTGTGGCTCAATGGTTGAGTGTCAACCCATGCACCAAGAAGTCGCCTGTTTGATTCCAGGTCAGGGCACATGCCCAGGTTGTGGGCTGGATCCCCAGTGGGAGGCATGCAGGAGGCATCCAATTGATATTCTCTCTCATTGATGTTTCCATTTCTCTCCCTCCCCCTCTCTCTCTCTCTAAAAAAAAAATCAATAAAGAAAAAAGTGTTTAAATGTGTTTCACAGATGAGAATCAAAGTTGGTGGTCAAATCTTTGAGTCATTTGCATATCAATACTAACTGAAGCATGTACATGGATATTGCCTAGAAAGGGTTTAAACTGAGGAAGATAGGAAAGAAAAGACAAGACCCTACAGCACTCCAGCTTGAGAATAGATGGTTACAAGAGAATGCAGGTGCAGAGGAAGCTGAACGTAAAGTTTCCTAAGTGGTACAGGACAACTAGGAGAGGATGACATTCTGGAATCAGAGGAAAGAAAGTCATTGGAAGAGGAAATGACAGTGATGACAAATGACAGGTCAAATAAGGTGAGGGCTGAAAAATGACATCTGATTTATTAAAACTGAGGGTTGGGGCATGGATTTGGTAGCAGATTACCCCAGTTAGAATCTCGCCTCCTTCATTTACTACCTGGTCCTAAAGCAAACCAAGGAAACAGTCTTGATCTCATTTGTAAAATGAGGAAAATTGTCATTTTACTCAAAGGGCTGTTTTGAAAACTGCTTATCAAAGTGTGCTCTGTGGACATAAAGAGATTCCAGAGACCCTTCCGAAGATTTGTGAGATTAAAATTACTTTCAAAATAATGTTGAGTTTTGTTTTTGCCCTTTTCACTGTGTTGACTTGTACAAACCAAAGTAGTAGCACTAAAACAAATCTTCATTGTATGTTTCCTGGCAATCCACTTGCAGTTTAGAAAAAAATAATATTCTTTTAAGAATATTATTGATAAACTAGTAAAAATATTAATTTTATTACACTTTGATCTTTCATATTATAAAATGAAATGGGTAAACACTGCCAAGATCAACATATCTCCGTGAACCAATACTTTCAAATGCATGATATTCCAAAATTCTACATGGGTAAAAGTATCCATTCAATGTGGAAAATACTCCAGTGGATTCAAATGTAACAGACTATGAAAAATTTAGTGACATGATTTTGGACTCAACAGTATAAATAACCTTTAGGTTATTAAAATAGTCCTCCATTTTTCTTTTTCCTTTTTTTTTCTTCTTTTAAATATGGAACATTTTACAAATGTGTGTGTCATCCTTGAGCAGGGGCCATGCTAATCTCTGTATCATTCCAGTTTTAATACACGTGTTGCCAAAGCCAGCACCCATTTTTCAAATAGATATCTAAATAAAGCTATAATTTTTCTTATGCTTTATGGAAAACATTACATCACAACAGACTGAATGCAAAAGAAAATATAAGCATTAAAGATTTGGAAAACATAAAACAGTGCTACTCTTTTCACAGTATTGTGTTTGTGTTGGAAAAATAGCTTAATTTTCATAAAAGTATTTGTTAGCTTGCAATGATTTTATCAGTGCTGTTGCCAAATAAATAAATAAATATTTAAGCAGTCTCGATTTCATTTTTAAATATGGAAAAACATCAATAAGGTCTACTATGCAACAGCACTTTGAGATCTTTAATAAGAGTATAAATGGTCTCTGACAAAAAAGCTTGAGATCACAGGTTTTCAGGATAAAATAAGGTAATTCAATGTATGAGTTAATTCTTGTTTTGTACATAGAACAATGTCTCAAGATTCTGTATGTGTTTATGAAGAGAGACAGACAGACAAATGGGTGGGTAGAAAAGTAGATGACAGAAGGAGAAAGAGAAAGATAGGTAGATAGGAAGAAAAATAGACAATTCACAGATGGATAGATAGGTAGGTAGAGAGATAGATACACAGTCATTGGTTAAAGTACATAGTGTTTGGGGGTTTTATTGAGGATAGAATCTGGACTGAAATATATAGAAGAGACAAATATTTTGGAAACACAAGCAACACCTGTCAGCAAAGTAATTTTCTGCCTCCTCCAGAGCTCCATCCTGTATGAAAATCCTGATGTGTTACTTCATTCACTACCATGGAGATATGACCTGATGCCTTTTATTAGGAGAAACAGGAGAGAGAGAGAGAAAAATCAATGAAGAAAAAACAGAAATCTTGATAGAGCAGTGTGATAGAGACAGAAACTTCAATGAGAATTCCATATGATAAGTTAGTGCTCCAGAGAAGAAAAATACTGTGAGAAACAGAATATAGACATTTCACTTTAAAATAAAGGCTTCTAATCTGCTTTTCTCTGTGAGAGAAAGCTGCTTCCTCTCTTTATCCTATCAGAGACCTTGAATGAGCCTGCTGTTTATAGCTAAAGAGAAAGTCACATTGACAAATAGCTCCTTTCTCAGATCCTTGAGTTAAAGGTTGATCTGAAAATCCATCAGTAGACCCTAAAGTAATGGAAAACCTGTGAGAAGATGACTCATGACATATGAGAAATGCATTTATGGGGCAGTAAAGTATATAGAAAGTATCTATTTGGCAGCCTGGAACTTACCCTCATGTCTTTAAGGAGTAGGAGTGAGGAAAACAAAAGGACAGTTGTCCTTAATTTTGTCTTTGAAAAGACATCATTAGTCCTTTGAGAATCTGGTGAAAGGTATGGACATGCACCCCAGAAAAACATGCTTAGATATTTTTTTAACATACATTTTCAAGGGACTATATTCCACGCCTAAAAATCATCTATGTACAGGGAAAATAATCAGGGAATATCAGGAGCAAAAATAACACCTCCTATGGAAGTTCCATTTGACCCAGTGATTCTACTTCTAGGAATATACCCTAAGAAGCCTGAAACACCAATCAGAATGAATATATGTACCCCCATATTTATAGCAGCATTATTTACAATAGCTAAGATCTGGAAACAGCCCAAGTGTCCATCAGTAGACGAATGGATAAAAAAGCAGTGGTACATATACACATGGAGTACTACGCAGCTGTGAGAAAGAAGGATCTCTTATCCTTTGAGACTACATGGAGGGACCTGGAAAGTATCATCCTAAGTGAAACAAGCCAAACAGAGAATGACAAGTTTCATATGATCTCACTTATTTGTGGAATATAATGAACATAACAGTCTGAGGAATGGGGTAGTCCCAGAGACGTGGGAGTGGGGTAGACTAACAATCCCCAGAAGAGGTGGTGGGGGAGAGATAAACCACAGACCTTATATGCATGTATGCATGAACAGTGGACATGGACAACAAACTGGAGAAAGGGCAGGGAGGGAGAGGGAGGGGGGTATCAGTGGGGGGAAAAGGAGAAACATCTGTAACAAAAATTAATTAATAAAATAAAATAAAAACAAAACAAAAAAATAACACCTCCTAGAACCATTCTTCATTACATTGCCCTAGATTTTTAACACACTACAAAAGCGATCTCCTGATTGCCTGACATAGATGAGGCTTGATATGGAATAAAAGTGTAGTCATGGAAAGAGGTATTTGTTTGGACCAGCTCTCTCACTTCACATAAGAGGACATTAAAATCTAGAGATGTTAAAAATCTTGCTCAGAGTTACAAAATCAATCAGAGAACTAGCTGATCCTCCCAATAGTCTAATCAATTTCCTCCAATCTCCTGAAGACAACAAGTTGCATCTGTTCAACTTGTATAGAATATTAGTGGCCCTACACTGTTGGATTCCAAATCTGGGAACATACATTACCAAAACTGGAAGACTATGTAGCAAGTGAAGAGAGATGTTTTATCTCTGGAGACTAAGAACACAAGTATACAGTAAAAGTTAGTGAAATACAATTAAACATCACCAATTGCATCCACAATTGGTATTTTATACCAATAAAACAGCATCTTAGAAATGCACCACACAATGGAGTGCATAATTTGGTTGGGTCAGTTATTCACAATTGTAATCATTTGATTACAAAATGCCCCTTATCAGCCAAAGTCACGGAAGGAAAGAGATATCATGTCAAAAGGGGTAATGGAGAGTTTACCTAAAGGACTACTTAGAAGTGTGTGGGTAGTGTTAAGGTAAACCAAGAATACTCGGGCTTGCCACATGGACAGCCATTGCACCCCTTAGGACTGAAGGCATAGCCACTGTACAGGAATGTGGTAGGGTTGGACCTGTGGAATGAATGTCCCTGCCTATTCACCATTCCCCCTCCAATCTCCTGCCAGTGCCTTATTTGGCCAAACCAGTAGCCAGAGGGAAAATGTACCTATTGATTCCATTCAAAACGATAACTCCAAGACACAGAAGGTGGCGAATGATGGGTCTGAATGGCGAGGACCTGGAAAACCCCCAGAACACATTGTTGGCTCCTCAAGCTGTGGAAAACTCAGAGCCATTTTTCAAGGACCCACACATTCTATGCACAAGGCCACATATTTCTAGATCTTATATTTCTAAGGGGAGCCACTAAAGAGAGGGAGCAACGTACTCCCATATTCGATACACACTAATGCAATGTTAGAAATCACCTTAAGTTAGTGGGCTGTGCAAGGAGCACAGCAATCTCACGCTGTGTTTCAGACTCTAAGTTCACCAGGCAATCCTTGGAGATCAAAAAGTGCTTCCAAAGGAGCTGCTGCTGGAGGGATAATGTTCAGCAATATAGTGTCCCAAGACACTAGGTGGTAGAACTGATGAAGAAAGTAACTGATTAAGACGGGCAGGGAAGAGTTTACCCCAAGATTTTTGCTCCCTACTTCTCAAAAGGGGCCACATGGTTATTGACCAGTAGCCCCTTGGAGTAGCTTTCTGCTAAGAATGCCAGAAGTTCAAAACTAATAAGGGAAGCCTTTGGAAGCAGCTGCCAGAACTAGAATACACAGCTAGAAATACTTTCCAAAAGCCTAAGGTAGCAAATAATGCCCATGATAAAAGATGTAATGCAAGCAGCCATCTGACTCTGTGCTGGGCTAAAAGAGCATTAACCCCATAGGGCATCATGCATATCCCTCTCCTTCATACCCCTTGCCCATCCTTGGGGAACACAGCACATCAGAATAGGAATGGATTCCTTACTGTTAGAATATCTCCAGCAAGAGGACAGAGTTCTCCAAATGTCTCTTTGGACAAAGAGGGAAAATATTAGCCTGTTAGAGATTTGGTAACCCAAATGGATACTGAAGTCAACATTCAGACTGCAAGTAGTAAGAGGTGCATGAAAGAGGTTTATATTTCATTTCACTTTGTAGTGCTGATTTTAGTCAAAATAAATTGTGATATTCAACTGAAGCATAATCCTTCATTGCTTTAAACTTGAATAACCTCAGTAAATTGTGCAGACAGATGCTTAATGAAGCCTATATTTATAAAACAATATTTTCTTCCCAGGACCATGGACTCTAGTATATTTCTTCTAATTGGAATCCAGTCTCCAGACTGGAGTTCCGCTGCCTTCTCTGAGCCACATGCTCAGAGCTCGTGGGATCGATCCACTGTGCCAGCTGCATCCTCATTACGTAAAAGGCATTGTAGCCCTGGCTGGTTTGGCTCAGCAGTTAGAGCGCAGGCCTGCGGACTAGAGAGTCCCAGGTTCATTCCACTAGGGGCATGTACCACCCCCCCAAAAAAAAGGCGGCCCTGGCCCATTTGGCTCAGCGCGTCGGCCTGAGAAACCACTCAATGTGTCCCTTTCATGTCGATGTTTCTCTCTCTCTCTCTCTCTCTCTCCCTCCTACTCTATCTGAACAAAATATCGAAAAATGTCTTTGGGTGAGGATAAAAAAATTAAAAAAAAGGCGTTGTTGTTTGGACAGCATGGTTGACACAGATGACTCCAGTTTGGCAGCAATATGCCATCCACATGTATGTGTAAATGTGTGAGGTGAAATTAAAAGCTGGGAGTGTGAGCCCAAGGGTGGGGCCATTTAAACATGTAAATTTTCAAAACAAAGACCATCATTTCTTATTGTAAATATAGTTACTTCCTTAAAGGGTAGGAAGGAATGTTGTGTTTTACCCAATTTGACTATCAGTGGAAAGCACTGGTAATCTTCAAGAGTTAATAGTGTGTAGATAGCACATTACAAGCTACTAAACAATTCTCACATTACTCTGAGATCAGAACAATTAAGTAGCTCTTATTCATGTTTAAATTATCTCTTCAACTCTCTTCAAATGCATTATGCACCCCTCCCCCCGTGCCATCAGGTTGTGGCATATGACTTGGGGTTCTTTCCTTGCCCTTCTGAAGTCAGGCGTGGCTATGTGATTTGTTTAGGCTGATTAGATGTCACGTCTAATCAAAAGTTTTAAGAAGCAGCATGTGAGT